TAAGCTTTGTTCCTGCATCCATTGGTCCATGTAGGTAGTCCTTGAACCCTATTCCTTCCTTCAACATTCCGTACACTTCTAGACCCTCCTTATCCTTGGATTCTTTCCTCAGATTCTGTTCTTCTCTCTCGGCACAAGCAACAGATATCTTCTCCTTGAACATGGAATCACGGGGGGGTGAGAAAAGGGAGCGTGTTTAGGGAGGAATTTCCAACGCGTTCGACGCGTTGTTTGTCCGAGATTCGGTCTTGACGCGTGAAGTAGATTTCGCCGTCTCCAGCAAGCTAGAGGCACAAGGACCGACACCCAGGCACAGAGCGGGGCGTTTTTCGAAGCGTGCTGTTCGTTTTTTCGAAAGGATGTACTTCTAAGTGAACGTACCTAACGACGTCCGAAAACCGTCCCGTCCCGATCGTCGACACGTATCTGTAGCGGTGGCCCAATAGCGGCATTGCCGCGAATGCTTCCGCGGACACCCTCGGCGAGGGCGGTGGCTCCGGCGCCGAGGATGGCCAACCGACCGCTGCTGCTGCTGCTGCTGCTGCTGCTACTGCTGCTGCCGTGCCTTGTTTCGTCCCGCTCGATCGGGTGACGACTCCTCTTCCTGTTCCTGGTGTTGACCCCGGGACCGTGGCGTTGCCGCCACAACCATTGGCTGTTCGGGACGACCGACAGTGAGTCTTCTCGCCCGGAGTGCTGCCGCCGCCGCCGCCGCCGCCGCCGCCGCCGTGTGCTAGCTTCCGGCGGTTGGCGTCGACGGTGGCGTAGAGGGCTCTCAAGCCGAGCAGCGCCCGGCACGGGGCGCTCGCCTTTTGGCGGGCGTCGCCAGGTAGTTGGCCACGCAGCAAGGCGGACCAAGCGGTAAACAAGCGTCTCAGCGTCGTGTGGTGGTGGGATTTTGTTTGCTGGTCGGTTCGCTGGGACTGACGTTGGTTTCGTTTTTGGGGCGGGGTGGTGTTGTTGAGGGACGCCTGCCCGAGGAGGCGGCCACACTACTCGCTTAGAGGGGAACATTTTTTTCATTACACCGTGTCACGGGGGTCCCGAGAATGAAAAATATTATAGACAATGGGTGACATGGCACACACACCCTTCGTTTGTCACACCTCTTGCATGTTGTTGTTGTTGTTGTTGTTGTCTTCACATTAAACCGTATGTCAGTTGCCAAATGCCAAAATCTAGCAAAAGACTCTCAGCCCGTGGTCACGAAAGTGCTAGAGCCATCTGAGGATCTAAAGAACACGCACACATATAACGAGAAAATGGTATCCAAGAGCCCGAAGAGGTACACCTCAAAATCCCTGCAGCACCTATGCGTGCCCAAAAACTGAACTGCACGTCCGTCCCACCGTTCGACTACAGTAGCATCACCCCCTCCCTGTCCCACTCTATACCAAAACGGAAGATTGCCGACTACAGCATACTGCTGTCTGAAGTGCTGTCTGTACAAAAACACCATGGTAGGCATGGAACAAGCAGCTGGCGGGGCACAAAGCTGCTGTCTGAAGTGCTGTCAGAATGTGTCTGCGGCCGTACAGTGAAAAAGAACAACCAACCAAAGCCATCATA